AAAATTTGTTTTTCAAATCTATTGCAAATAAAAACTAACCTTTTCCTCATTATTTTTCTCCTAATACTTTAATTAGTACCCAAACAGAGGACAGGGGAAATTCTATGATATATTTATGAGATTTAACTAGTGGTTTAAGAAAATTTTGATTTCTACAGTAAATGAAGTCCATTCTCCCTAATAATGCACCAGGCAGCAAAAAGGGTCTCCTCAATAATGTGGAGAAAAACACAAATCTAGTAATAAGTGTATACTGTACCAGTCACTTAGAAAAAGAACATTACAAACAGAAAACCAATGTATGCCACTGTAAATGGAAATACAAAGGCACAAAGATGGAAAGAATTTTAATGTAAATTCTATCCACCCACAAATAATGTTAACTGTTGGTGCATAAACATTTTTTTCTATGCAAACACGGTATTTAAATTGGGATAGACTTTGACCTTTTCCTGATACTACAATATTCAAGTCATGAATTAATATTCTAAAACTCTTTTCAATTCATGGAGACCTCATGGCTGCCAACGCTGGTTTTGAGCTCTGGTGATGCAGTGCACTAACTGCACTACTAACCAAAGGTTGGCAGTTTGAATCTACTGGCTGCTCTGTAAAAATTCACTGCCTCAGAAAACTGATGAAAGGTTACTATGAGTTGGAAATGACTCCACGGCAAATAGTCTTTTTGAAATTTTTCATAAGTAGTCTGCTAAGCCTTTTTTCCAATTTGCCTCTTGTTGATTTGGACCTCGACCACTTCTGTCTGCAGCTGGGCACTTTAATGGTCTGCATCACTCAGGGATTCGTTTTCAACCTTCACATAAATAGAAATCATTTAACATATTGATTATTACTCTTTCATTTCTCTGAACTTTTAAAATGCTACATCCAGGTGAATTATCTAGTGTACATATGATATCCTATGGGGGGAAGTACAAATCAAAGTTTTTAATGTGGCTAGTAATTGAAAAGAGTTCTGATGGTGTAGTGCCTTACATGCTGGGCTGCTAATGAAAAGTTCAGCAGTTCAAATCCAACTATCTCTCATGGGACAAAGGATATAAATTTAGTAACATCTTAGCTACCCAATACCATGGGTAAAACATTTATAATCTGTACTTAAACCAAGAGCCAGTCATTCAAACTGAACAAGGGAATGTTGTGAGGTTTAAAATCAAGAAAGGAGTGCATCAAGGTCCCATTCTTTCCCCAAACCTATTCAACATGTATGTTGAACATATATCTGAGAAGCTGGACTATATAAAGAATGTGGGCAGCACTGAGATTGGAGAAAGACTTATTAACAATCTCCAATATGTAGAACACAATCTTGCTTGCTACAAGCAAAGAGGACTTGAAGCAATCACTAATGAAGATCGAAGACTAAAGTTTTCAGTATAGATAGACCATACCTTAACATAACAAAATAGAAATAAAAAACTTTTCACAGTTGGATTGATAAACACCATGATAAATGGAAAAACACGGTTAAGATGTCAAGATTTCATCTTACTTAGATCCACAATTAAATGCCCATGGAAGCAGTATTCAAGAAAACGAAATGTATTACACTGGACAAATCTGTTGCAAAATTCAAATGAATACACTATAGTCTGATTCAAGCAATATACCATTCAAGTCAAATTCTATGGCCTGATGCAAGGTGAAACAATGGACAAGACCAAAGAAAAAGATTCATTTATGATGCTGGTAAAGGACACCGAATGGACTGTAGACTGCCAGAAGGGCAAACAAATTTGAAGAGGTCTAGCTAGAAGGCTCCTCAGAAGGGTGGTGAGACTTCATCAGGAGGGACCAGTACCTGGAGAAAGGCATCATCCTTGGTAAAGCAAAAGGTCAGTGAAAATGAGAAAGACCCTTAAGGAGCAAGTCTGACACAATGGTTGTAACAATGACCTAATTCAAATGGCAATGACTGTGAGGATGGCACAGGGACAAGCAGTGTTTTGTTCTGTTGTACATAAAGTTTTCATGAGTAGAGACCATCTCTATGGAACATTAAAAAGAAAAATTCCACTACCATGGAGTAGATTCTGACTCACAGGGGCCCTCCATCAAGGTCCACTTATGTGAAGAGTCTGTCCACCTTTCTCTCTGATGGTAGCCAGGAGATTTCAACTGCTGACCTTATGACCCATTATGCACTAAGTAGGTTTTGAAAATGGAGTAAGAGGGTGAAAAGAGAAAGAGAAGGGCAAGGAGGTGTAGATGACGTACTGATTTCTTAAACTGTTAGGGAGGTTTTGAGAAGTGATAAACAATTTTGACTTCTTAAAAGCCTCACTGAGAACAGTATTAGAACACTTCTAAGAGAAGCAGAATGAATATACATGTATGTCATTATACACTACAGAGTCGGAACCGACCCACAACTGACACTCTGGTGGGATTTCAGAGGCAGTTAACTGCACAGGAGACTGCCCTTCCTTCTCCCACGGAGCAGCTGGTGGCCTTGAATTGCACACCTTTCGGATTGTAGCACAGCTTCTTGCCAGTAGTCCACCAGATCTCCCTGTACAGGTATACAGAAATACAAAAGAACAAATAAGTCCGTCTTGGAGGAAGTATAACCAAGTTGCTCCTTGGAGACAAGGCTGGCACGACTTCCTCTTACATACTATAAGCATGTTGTCAGGAGGGGTCAGAATGATATTTGGGACGGAGAGAACAGAGAAAGAGGGGCAGGCCCTTACGAAGGTGACTGTTTACAATAGGCTTGAGCATACTGGAGACAGTGATGGTACACGATAGGGCAAAATTCAGATCTACTGTGCAAAGGGTCACCAGGAGTCATAGTCAACTTGACAGCAGGTAGCAACAGCAACAGTTACAAACACACCTAACAGTGAGGTCACCCAAAACCCTATTTCTAATATTCCAGGCAAGGTCTGAAACAGCACGGCAACAAAGGAGCACTTCAGAAGGGGTCATACTCTAAACACGCATTTTCAAGGTAGAGCCAAGAGACTCTATTTCATTAGATGTGAGAATAGACAGAAGAAGTAAAGATGACCCCAAAAGTTAACCACCTGAGGACTTTCAAGTTGAAACTGCCTAACAATTACTAAATCCCAACTATAAGGCACTTAAGCTATTTACACTGATGATTATAATAATTTAAACCTCAATGGTATGATGTGTGTCAGGCTACTAAGAGAAATGTCCACAAGCTTCACCTTGGGAGAGAGAAGAGGCAGTCTATTCCAGATAAGATTGACAGCCTCAGAAACCTGATGGAGGATCTTTCCAAGGCAGAATTTGCCCCACTGCCCAGTTTATTTTGGTTTTGATCCACATGGTAAGGTGTGCTAGTGGCACAAAGCTTAAGTACTTTGCTGCTACTAACAAAAGACCTGTGACCTGCTCTGATGGAAATGAAAGCCGAAGGAATCAGGAGGCAGGCAGTGCTACTCTGTCCTTTAGGGGTTGTCTGAGAAGTGGTGGGCATCACCCTCACTTACCAAATATAAAAAAACTCTACCCATTCATTCATAAGAGAGCTCTGGTGGCCTGGTAAGAAAGAAAGGACATGTGCTGCTAATCCAGAGGCAGGAAGTTCAAATCCATCTGTTGCTCCTTGGGAGAAAGATGTGCAATTCCCCGTGATTTACAGCTAAACTCACTGAAGGGTTAGCAATGAGTCAGTTATAACCTAACAGCACAGAACAACACTGACTGAGATTCAACCCTAAGTTATCCTAAGGGCCCATGCTTTTTACCAGAATTCAATACATTACTGCAGTTACGAGATCCCAGGATAATCATGAACAAAGTAAAAACCTGGAAAGTGCTCCATGAAATGCTTTTGAGAACACAGGCTCAAATATGTGAGCCCTGCTCAGTGCAGAATTGTTTGAATCCCCCAAGAATCTAAATCTACACTTGTGATTGTTTGGGAAGCAGATCCTGCAAGTTGGGAAATGATGTCTTTTTTACTTCAGACTCAAAATAACAGGGAAAGGACTAGAGAGTCTGTATGTTCAGTGAAACATCATTGTAAAAAAAAAGGAGAGACAGAGAGAGAAAAGACATCAGTCCAAGGTAGTCACAGAAGATGCTGGCAACCAAAGTCATGGTTTTACCACTTGTCACTCTTTCCCATCACACAGCCCTCCCTGACCTCTCAGTGACTTCTGCATTCCTAATCCTCTGGTCCCTAATGCCTCCCAGGCTGTCCTTTCACTTTCACATCCCTCTGCCCACAGCTGGGACGGCTCCGCCTCGAGCTGCCAGTGCACATGTCCGCCTCTGCGGGGAGGACCTGCCTGCCTGCTGCCCCTCCAGACCCGGTCTACGGCTGCAGCGGGACCCACTGGAACAGCGTGTGGCCCTGGAGGCTGGGCACCTGGGCTGCAGCTGGGCCCCCCCCCCGGGGGTCCACACCTACCCACCTTTGGGGGAACTCAGGCCCACCCCAGGGGCGTCCACCCACCCCTGGGAGCACTCAGGCCCACCCACGGGGTGGGGGTGTCCACCCCCAAACCCTGGGGCGCCCACGCCCACTCACCCCTGGGAGCGTCCACCCGGGGGTCCACGCCTACCCACCCCTGGGATCACTCACGCCCACCCCGGGGGTCTCCACCCCCACACCCTGGGGCGCCCACCCCCGGGTCCTGCACCCTCGCTGCCGGCTGTCCGTGGCGTCCTGCGTGGCCGGGAAGCGCGGGCCCCTCTTCCTCCACGGGGTGACGATGCCCCGGGCTCTGGTCCCCGAGCCCCTCGGGGTCACCGATGGGGGCGGGGAACGGCCCCGGGAACGCGTGCGCCGCGGGCGCCGTGCTGCTGCCGGCCAGGTCGGGGTTGGGCCCCGGGGACCCCGTGGAAGGGCTGCGCGGACTCGGGGTGCGGCGGGCGCAGGACCCCCTCCCTCCGCTGGCGGGCGCCGGGTTCCTCTTCCGTCCGCGGAGGTGGCAGTGAGCGGCCCGACCCCCACCCCGCCCCCCTAACTGTCACCCGGCCCGAGCCCGCCCGGTACTCACGCCCGCGGCGGCCGCGGTGACGGCCGATTTCGCCGCCGCACCGGCCGAGCGCAGTCGCCCCCGTCCCCGCGGCTCCAGGCTCAGGAACTCGCTCGACAGGTCGAGAGGGTCGCTGGCCGAGGCGGCCGAGTGGCTGTGCAGTTCCAGGCTGCTGCGGAGCACCACCATCTTCTCTGGCCCGTCTGCCCGCACCGGGGACTGAGGACGGGGACAGGGGAGACGGGCCGCGACCGGCGGCAGCCGCTCCGCCACTTCCGCGCTCTGAATTCTGGCGCCACAAGCTCCGCGCCAGCGACCGCGGCGCGCCCGCGCGGGATCCCTCCACCGGCCGGCCCCGCCCCCCGCCGCCGCGAGCGAGGATCCCGGACCCCGCCGCCCTTCCCTTCCGCTCCCGAATCGAGCCCCGAGGAGGCTCGGCTGGAGCCGCGGAGAACGTGCGCCCACGTCGTGGGGAACTTGAGCGAACAGTGGGGAGAGGACACAAACTCCGTTTTCTTAAGTAGTCCGGGTTCCCCGCTGCATCCGGCGGAGGGAGAAGGCGCGGAGCGAGTGCAGAGTCCGTTTGGAATTTTGGCGCGTGGACGTCTGGGGGAAGGGAGGCTGCCGCTCGCTCTGATTGGCTGACGCGGGCCTCGAGTCTCCGCTGGGCCCCTCCCACCACCTGCCTGCAGCTTCCCGCCAACTAGAATTCAAAATACAGAGTCCTACACTGAGAAGGGGGAAATGAACCCCTTTTGGCCAGTGACAGGTTTTAACTTTTGAGCCACATAAACTCTTGACTGAAGTCTTAAACAAAACAAATTAATTATCGTAACATTAAAAAAGAACAGCTAAAAGCTGTTCCCAACTCAAACCAACTAATACTACTGGCAGTATTTCAAATCTGGGTACCCTTGGTAACCAGCAGTCCGGACACCAGGAGACTTTGCACTGAGCAAGTCAGCTGTCACAGCTCTCTCCATAATACTGAGGAGAGCGATGTTAGTTTGAAGACTAAGGTGCTCCTGGTTCAGGCCATGGTCTTTTCAATCGTTTGCTAGGCTGGACAATGAATAAGGATGACAGAAGTGATGCCTTAGAGTTCAGGTATAGGAGAAGAATACTGAATATCCCATAGACTACCCAACGAACGAACATATATCTTATAAAAAGTGCAGCCAGGGTGTTCCATGGAGGCGAGGATGACAAAGCTTCATCTCATATTCGGGATATGGTGCCAGGAGAGACTATTTCTTGGAGAGGGATATCATGCTTGAAAAGGTAGGGGAACTTGAAGAGGAAGATCCTTAAGTAGATGAACTGACATAGTTACTGCAGCAATGGGCTCAGGTGTATCAGAGATAAGTGTGGCATAGGACAGGGTTCAGATTTGCTGTTCATAAAGTTGCTATGAGTTGTACATCATAGATAGCACCTAACAACAACAACAACAACAACAACCCAATCCAAGTCCACCCCTTCGGAGTATATTTGGGTCACAGGCTCCTACAGGAGCCTGTTGTTGTTATGTGCCCTCGAGTCGCCTGCGACTCATAGCGACCCTATGTACAACAGCCCTAAACTCTGCTCTGTCCTGTGCCAATCGCA